TAATTACCATATTCATGTTACTGTTCACCAATCACTAAAAGTCAGTACATTACAGTTTAAGCTAGAAGTTGTTTTTCAGTTTTCTTGCAGTGGAAAATTCTGAGACCTTTTTTCTACTTGCAACTTTGCTGACTTGTTTGCCTGTGCTGTCTTTCTGCTTGGTAAAAACATCTTCCTGTCTGAGGTGGGTTTATCCTTTGCTCTAAGCCATAAAAACCCCTTCTAACTAACACAGCCTTTGCCTCCTTGGTTAGCCAGTAAGACTGGCTCAGCAATTCTTTTATATCAAAACTTGCTTCTATTTGTTCATCAGACTCTACATTTAAAAATCTTTCTGCTAAGCACACATCTGCGAGACTTTCTTGCCAAACTTCCATCCTTCCCAGCATGGGCCACAGTGCTCCCCTCAGCTGCCATTCACCATTTCTCCTCCAGTTTTCAGGTTGCTCTCCATGAGCGTGGCTGTGCTGCTGCTCCTGCTGCTGGTTCTGGGGCTGCAGGAGGCTGCAGAGCGCAGGAGGAACAGGAACAGATGTTTCTTCAACCGCACCCAGGAGTTCTGTATGTGCTACAACCTGTCTGAGGAGACAGCTGGGAGCATCATCCAGTGCCTGGCAGCTACTGTGGTGGAGTTTTGGGGTGGAGATGTGGAGAAATACACAGACTTCCCCATCAGGGACCTGGACGACTCCACCATTGAGACTCTGGGCTCCCTTATCGTCGAGAAAATCATCATTGGAAATGTGCTGGTGCCTGAGGTGCTCCTGGCCCGTGTGCTGAGGTTCTTCTCCTATACCCACGTGCAGGAGCTGGCCTTTGACAGCTGCATTTTCCAGGGCACGGGGGACTGGAGTGACATGGAGGGGCAGAGCTTGCCCATCCTGTCCCTGAGCTTCCACAACGTGAGCTCTGCCCCTCTGACAGGCCATGAGCCGGCCTTCTCCAGCCTGGGCAGGTGGCTGGGGACGCTGCAGGAGCTGGCTGTCACCAGCTCCCGTGTCACCAGCCTGCCCTGTGCCATCGGGAAGCTGCTCAGGGCCCTGCACTCCCTGAGCCTGGCACACAACAGCCTCGGGGACGGGAGCCTGGCCCCTGCCTTCTGCCAGGGAGCTTTCCCTCAGCTCCAGCAGCTGAGCCTGCAGCACAACAACCTGAGCTCCTACCACGGTGTGTGTGAGGGCGTGGGGCTGCTGCCACAGCTCCAGCACCTGGATCTCAGCCACAACGAGCTCAGGGCGGAGCCATCCTCCTCCTGCCAGTGGCCACCATCCCTCCAGCACTTCAACTTGTCCTACACTGGCTTGGCTGAAGTGCCAGTCCCGCTGCCTCGCCACCTCCAGGTGCTGGACATGAGCCACAACCACCTCCACGCTGTCGACATCTCCCTCAGCTCCATGAGGAAACTCTTCCTGAACCAAAACCTGCTGCAGGCCGTGCCCTCCATCAGGAATTGCCCTGTGCTGGACACCCTCCACTTGGACAACAACTCCATTTCAGAGCTGCCCAGGGCTGAGGTGAAGCTGCTGGGGCGCCTGCAGGACGTGGCTGTGGCTGGGAACCCCTTCAGCTGCTCCTGCTCGGGGG